AGGGCCTAAATAGGAGACAGAAAGGGTAGCAAGTGATACAGAAATCCCTCCAGTGCAGTCTCTGACACCAGCTCTGGCTTCGGCCCCCCTGATCTGCCAGCACTGACCGTAGAAGTGTGCGTGGAGGAGACCTGCCCAGCTGTCCTCACCCAGGAAGCTCTAGGAAATCTTTATGATCAAATCCCACATCCATGGGACTGGGGATTTTGCTCAGTGGCACTGTGCCTGCCTTGCAAGAGCAAGGTCCTGAGTTTGATTCCTGGTACTGAAAACAAAAACAAAAACAAAACAAAAACCCATCCATCATAGACACTATCCACAGGCTTCTGTCCTTCTGAAATCTCCATAAAATCAAGAAAGTACACTCTTACCAATGAAAAGGTTGTATCTAGGCGAGGAATCTAAAACTCTTTTGGTCTTTGTTCTCTTTATCTCTTTAAAAATTGTTAAAAACTTGAAAAAGCTTTTGCTATAAAGCTGATTTACATCTTTTGACATTTACTAGAGTAGAAATCAAAATTAAGCAAAAATATTTATTTTTAATTCATTTAAGAATAATAAACTAATTACATGTTAATGTAATTATATTTTAATGAAAAATGTTTTCCAAAACTTTAGTGGGAAGAGAGGCATAGTTTTACTGTTTCACAAATTTCTTTGACATCTAATTTAATAAAAGAAATAACCAGATTCTCATCCTTGCTTTCTACTTCATTTTGTTGTGATGTGTTATTTTGGTTGAGAGTCCAGACTCACTAAGATACACAGTCGCAAAGAGCAAAGGCAGTTTGATGGCAATTTCAGGTAATCATGAATATCCTTTGATACTACGTCCAAACTCCTCAAATACAGCCTCTGAGAAATTGACTCCAAAATGGACTCTGAAATGAGTTTGTTTTTAATCTCATGAATAGTTTTTGATGCAGTGTCACAATCTTTATCTTTAAGAGGAAACTAAATGAAAAATTGCTCCTTAGTGGCAAAAGATAAAAGGCTAGAACTAGAAAAGTAGGTGCGCTGTAAGACAGCAACAAGGAACAGGGGACCAAATTTGCAAATGAGGATCAAGAACACCTAAACTACTGTAAAAAGAAAGGAAAGAAAAGAAAGACTTTAAGTTTTTAAAATTATCATTTATGAAAAAAAAAAAAAAAAGGGCCGGGGATTTAGCTCAGCAGTTCGGTGGCCTGCCTTGCAAGCGCAAGGACCCGAGTTCAATCCCCGGTACCAAAAAATAAATACATAAATAAAATAAATAAATAAAATTATCATTTATGGGGCCATGCCCAAGTACTCAATTGCACTCTCAGGAGGGTCAGTGAAGGAGGATTATTTCTGTCTCACAGGAGAGGTCGGGTGCTACAGGAACCAGGTACTTCTGACGTGGCAACTTGTGATCTTTTCTTTAAAATGAGCTTTTAAGGTTCTGAAGATAATATACAATCTTTTAAATCAAACAAAAAAAGGTATAAAAGTAAAAGCCTCTTGCTCCTTGCTCCCCTCTTTTCTCCCCTTCTGCTGTGATGTATTAGTAGCAGTCAATACAGACACTTTAATTTTACCAGACAAAAGCTGGCGACCCAAATCTTGGTGATAGCAGAACCCACAAAGGAGGAGGATGAGATGAGCTGAGACAATTGACAACTAGGTGCTAATCACGTTTACAGGATTACACATGGATTTCATGCTCTAGCTACTTTCTAGACCTTCTTAAAGTCAAGGGTTCAAAGACTTTCTGTGGATCAATTTTCACTGTTGTGGGAGAAAGAAGAGAAACTGTACAAAAATCAAACAGAACAGTGATAGAGATAGATGGTGAAGAGATGCCAATCCTTGGCCTGCCCTCCAGTGGTTTGAGATGTAAATTTCCCACCCACAGGAGATGCAGGTGCTCAGACACAGAGGGATCCAATCCCGTGTCTTCTGCGGACTTTTCCCACAAGTTAAGAAACTTAACAGTGAGACGTTGTGTTCCCCTTGGTTGTTTCCTTTTTGTAGGCGGAGATGTCCTTATTATTATTTTTTTCACTTTTGAAGCATTTATTAGCAGAAGAATAAAATAGTGCCTGTGAAAATGCTTTTGTAAATTCAAGGGATCATCATTACCATCTGTGGAAGGAGTCACCAGACTAAAGCGAGATCGGACTTGAAGGTCAGCGCAAAAGAATATGTACACAATCAATTCAGCATCCACAACTGAGAGAAACGCCTAAGTGTTTCAAAATTACAAAGCTGAAAACATTTCTTTTTAAAATATTCATCTTAGGAAGTGTCTGCGGAAGGGGATTTTTTTGTTCTCTTTGTTTGAGTCAGAACCACTAATAATGGTGCTTTGGTCCCTCAGAAAGCCCCCTGAAGAATATTTTTCAGTTTACTCATTTTATTTGTTATGCAGTGCTTTCTACGTTCTTAGACTTTCTTTGCCCTGTGTCTTCTCACAGCAGCATAACCAGAAGGGTGAAACTCTTACTCCTCCTTACTTACTTACTTCTGCTTTCCTCTCAACCCCTACCTCATCTCTGCCCAGTTCCCAGACTCAGACCTCATTTCTCCAACTCAAATTCCCGAGGGAAAATAATGGGAAGAAAAATCGAGGAAGGCTGCTTAATGTTTGGGGATGATTCCAGTGTACCCCACAGTCATTCCAGATGCAATAGCAACTTTTGCCCAAAAGCCACACCAATTACATACATTGATTCAGACAGACTAGAAATTGAAAAAAAAAATAATGTAAGTCTCGGCACTAAACTTTTAATGGAAATCATAGAACAGAGAATTTTTGAGAAAATGATTTTTCTTCTTGGTTGGAGAAGAAAAATTATAGGTTTATAAAGTGGCCATAAAAATAAGCTTACAGGGCATAACATCAGCACTTTGTACACATGGGGCTCAGAGAATTGCAACTGGGTGAGAGGTAAAGAGAAAATCTGTGCCTTTGCTCCTGAAATACCTAAGGGGATATAATCATGAAAAAAATACTTTAAAAATCATTCCTTTACTTATATGTGCCCCAGTATTTTCTTGTTTATTCCAATATGTGTTCTAATATCTATTTACTATAAATGTAGCTGTTCTTTCTGGGTTTTCTATCTCTGTTTTTCTGTCTGTCTGCTGTCTTGGGACACTTCTTTTTTACAGTGTGATTCTGTTATCTTGAAACTGGATCTAGTCTTTTTCTGTTTGTTTTTGAAACTGTGTTGCTCAGGCCGACCTCAAATGTTCAGCTTCATCCTCCCAAGTAGCTGAGATTAAGGCATGTGCCACTGTGCCCAGCTTTGGACCTACTCTTTAAAGCTGGACTCCGAAAGCATCCTCCTCTGTCTAACTGTTTCCTCTGGATGCCTCTGGTTGTCCTTTAGCAGCCAGCAAAGGGTGCGCTGCTCACTTAATGTTAGAAGACTGGCTTGAATACACTATGCAGTGGTGGTAAACCTTCAGCACATGTGTCACGGTGGGCTGTTTATCTCACTGAAAACTCTAAAAGGATTGTCATCACTGAACTATGACATTTATTCCTGAGGCAGTCTTCCAGTAGGCACTGTTCTTGACCCACAGTAGATGAGAAAACTGAGGCAGACAGGGGTTAACTAATAACTTGTCCCGTGGGGTGGCATAGCTTCAGGTTCAAGCTGGATTCTTTAGACATTCTTGTTTTCTTTGGTCAACATACTGAGCTCCTTCCTATCGTTCAACGGTCCTAATTGTTTTGAAGATTTGGAAAGGATCTTGTCTAAGGTCTGGCCTTCAGCAGTCACCCCACCCTCAGAAGCTGAACATTCAGAACTCAGAACTCTGAACTGAAGTGCCTTTGACCACGTAAGGGTCTCCTACCTCTAGTTACAGTGCTTCCAGATCCCTTTCACAGAAAGCCACTACTGCCACAGAGTCCAATGTAATTCCCACCTCCCACTCCCATCTGGGCATCTGGTAGCTGAAAATTGGATCCCAAGGGCCAGATCCCTCCTGAGGTCTAAACAAAAGCTCAAGAAAATGATGTCTGCAGGTGACTCTCCAGAGTTTAGATTCTGTTTAATTCAAAACAGGAAGTCACATTCCCTACTTCTCTCACTTCCTAAAATGCAGCTGCATTTTCTCTCTCTGTTCTTTGATTTTATAAAGTAACAGGCAGAATCCCACATTGGGCCATTGTTTGAGTAGTTTTATCCTTCACTATTTTCTAAAATGTTGTACAAAAGGATTGCTTTTGAAAGGACCAGCCTTTAAAAAATTATTATGGATTTTCCAAGTTATTGAAGGGCAAATGGAAAAAATAACATGGAAAATTAGGTAGTGTTATGTTAAAGATGCCAAATAATAGTTTTTTAAAAAAGATTTCTGCTGAAATACAAACTGTCTTCTTACAGCTTTTCCACCTGTTAGACTTAGGACCCAGTTGAATCTGGTAGATAGAATCAAGGGGTTCTTGAACCTGTTTTAATTGTAAACATTGGAGTGTGCTTTAGGTTGTGGACGGCATTTATTGTGTGTGTGTGTGTGTGTGTGTATGTGTGTGTGTGTGTGTGTGTGTGAGACAGAGAGAGAGAAATGTGCACCTGAATCAACTTTATGACTGTATTCCTCTCGAGGCAATCTGGGTCTCAAAAACCTCTTAGAATTTTACTAGACCTCCAGTTCTCACTTTCACAGAATTTATATCCTCTCAAGGACAATCAGAAATGCAGAGATTAATAAGGGTGACACTTGAAAAATGTGAACATGACCGTCCCAGAAACAATGACCCAATGCCCTGTCCAAAGCTGAAACCAGCCCCTTTAAAATTAACTTTGAGGGCCAGGGATTTAGCTCAGTGGTTCCATCCCCTGTCTCTTGCAAGTGCAAGGACCCCAGTTCAATCCCTGGTACAAAAAAAAAAATTTAACTTTGAGACCAAACACTCTCAGTAAAGGGCAGCAAAGACCACATTCTGATGTCCCCAAGGGCACACAGTCTCCACGAGTTTTATTGTTCATAAAAAATAAATTTATTTACATATGTTCATTTCTGTGGAAGTGAAGCCTCAGCAGCGTGTTGCCCGGAAGCACTGTGAGTAAGGTCACTGGGTAGCCAATAGCTCCAACTGCCTGTGGGGTGCCAGGGGGTGCGGGAAGAACTTGAGCACCTGAAAGAAAGTGAATACCTAAGACTTTGTTGGGGAACGGCTGCGGAGCTTGGAGCTGCAAAGCCTGTCCAGGGAAATTTGGAATCCCAGAGGGGGAATTGCAGTTAGCAGCCTCAGCAGATGATAAGGAGGCCCCAGGGAGAGGAGCCAGGAAATTAGGACAGTGAGGATGGGGAGACTGGAGCCTAAAAGGGGAAAGAGTGGACCCAAGGTGATGACAGAAAGGAGGGAGCTCTGAAAGAAGATCCCAGCTTGAGGAGAGTAGCCAGTCAGACACAGCAAGAGAGCAGAAGGCAAGCCCAGCCTGAGCCAGTCTCTGAATTGTGCCTTCTCCTGTGTCTCCAGCATTCAGCTTGGAGAGTGCTGGCTGTCTGGATAGAAAACTGGCCCAGATATGTCACTTTCCTTTCTTTGTAACTTAAGACATGCCCCGAAGTGGACCTCACACCAAGACGCTCTCTTTAAAGAGGGTCAGTAGAGAGCTCTATTTTCTAACGGGGCTGTGAGGCCTGGACTGTGGGGAAATCTGTGCTGACATAGGCGATAGATCTGACTCTGCTGGAAACTAACCCTAACCCTAGGGTCTAGGTGAAGTGGCACTGGCTGGCTCAGATGGTAGCCTGGGGTACAGCGCTGAAGATCCAGGTGGAATCTGGGTTTGCACTGCTCTCCACACAGAGGCTCTTCCTGGCGTCCAGGCCCAGACTCTTTGCACCTCCACCGTCCAGCTCGCAATTCCGGGGAAAGAGAGGGCCCAGGAGAATCCAGTGGAACTTTCTGCCCATCCCTGGTATTCACTCTCTCCTTGGCCCTCAACACTTTGGTTTAACAAATAATCCCATCAAGTGAGTCCGAATCCTATCTAAGCAGTGGTTCCACATAATCTGTTTGCTGCGGAAACGTCTTTGGTATCAGAGTCGGGTCGTCCTGAGACCACGAATGGCCACGTCTGTAAAATCAAAAAGAGCGTCAGATACTGCCGAGAAACCACCATCTCAAACATAAGCCACTCTCTTAGGTGAACTCCAGAAATCAGCTTTCATCAGCATTCTGGAAATTTGTGTATCTTGTCTCTAATCTGAGGTTGTGCTCTCTTACTGAATATTGATTATGGTAGACATTCGATACCCTTCCTTCTGGTCTGTGTGCACCAGATAACTGGATGAAATTTTGAGTTTGGGATTTTGTCATTTGTTTAATCCCTCAGAGAGAGAGAGAGAGAGAGAGAGAGAGAGCAAGAGAACAGGAGGGAGGGAAGGGGGAGAGGGAGGGAGGGAGAGAGAGAGGGCAAGTAGGAACTTCTATAGGCTCAGATGTGCTGTTTGTTTCCCATCGTGGAGAGCTGGCAGGTCAGAGAGGGACTTTCCAGACAATCTGGCCTATGGAAACTGCAACTCACATCCACTAAAAAATCCAAAAACTCATTTACAGTGCTCAATTTTCCCTCCTTCTTTAAAGAAAGTAAGGCTTGCTGGTTCAAACCTGCCAGGCTCTTTGTTAGAGAAAGCCAGCCGGGTGAATGAAATTTGTTATTTAATCTGCAGCAGGGTAGTAAACTCAGTTGAAACTAAGATATATACCGGAAGTAGGATGTTAGCTAATAGCTGTCACTGGGCGAAACACCACGTACACTGATTAGAATCATGGGAACACAGAAGGCTGGACGATTCCTTTCCAAGAAAACAATCGGTTCCCCTTCCCTTGATTTGGGAGGAACTAAACTGGGATTCCCATCACCAGTCCCACAGTCCTCCCTTTCGGATTCTTTCTTGCAGGCTGCCCCTCCCGGCACCCGGGAGCGCTCTGGGCACCTCCTGGCCTCTAGCCCCGGGCCGCGCGCCGCTTCCCTACCAGGTTCACTGGGTGCACAAAGCCGTTTTCGTAGCGGTCCTCCTGCAGCAGCTGCCGCAGGTGTGCGATGTAACTGGAAGCCAGCCGCAGTGTGTCCAGTTTGGAGAGCTTAGTGTCGGGAGGTACCCAAGGAAGGCTGGTCTTCAGCCTGGAGAAGGCTTTGCTCAGGACACGCATCCGGGCGCGCTCGCGGGCGTTGGCCGCGTTCCGCTGTGACTGCTTGCACTCCGCGGCCGAGCCCTTGGGCAAGAGAGGCTTTTTACTACAGCCTGCCCCGCCACCTGCGCAGCCGCCCCCAGCCACACGGGGCCGCTTCTTCTTGCAGCCTCCCAGGTCGCGGGCTGCGCTCAGGGCGAACCGCTCCTCCTCGCCGTCGGGGTCCTCCTCCTCCGCGGAAGAGTTGTCACTGGGCGAGGCGTAGCTGCGCTCTGCGCCGCGGAGAGGCTGCCTCTTGGAGGAGGCGGGGACCGGGTACCCGCGCTGCAGTCCCCGCAGCTCCATGTCTTCGGGGTCACTCACCGAGCCCGTGGACATCTCTTCGTCCCTCGCGCCCACGCGCGTCCGCATTCCTCCGCCCGGGCCAGTCTCACAGTCTCCGCCTTCCCCTCCCAGGCAGAGGTGGGGGCCAGGGAGAGCTCCAAAAGGGAAGCGCCGAGCAGTGGCCCGAGAGCGAGGGGGGCGGCGACAGCGAGCGCCCCGCTGCTGACCCCGGAGAGCGAGGCCCAGGAGTCGGCGCCAAGATCCGGGCTCCGCACGCAAGATTGCGAGCTCTGCCTTTTGACAGGACTATTTATCTGTACTCGGAGGAGCTAACCACGCCGGGCACAGAAGCGGGGGTTGCC